CTAATACTACTATCAAAAAATTAGATTAATGGATTATCTCTCCTTAACTTCAACATAATCTTTTAGGGTTTTTTCAAATTTGATTTGCTCAATAATTGAATCCAATAGGGTGATTTGTTGATGAATGCACCAAAGAAACTAATAAAAAAACTAAATAAAAGAAAGAAGAGGGGCTGTCTGTTGGATGCCTAGACTGAACTGAAAGTCTGAATGAAGAAGACGAAGGATTACGAAAAAAAAAGCAAGCGCAAAAAGGAGCTGCCAAAATTTAGCTTTTAAGGGTTTAAAATTATATTAATATATCTTATACTTTAAGAAAATTTTAGTGGGGTAAGTTTAAGAAATTCTTGAAATTTTTTTAAAATTACACTTGGGTCTCAATTTTTTTAAAAATTTTAGTGAGGGCAACTGCTAGGCGTGCAAAATGAGAAGTTGCCAAAAGTTAGCTTTTAAGAGTTAAAAGTTATATTAATATACCCTATACTTTGAGAAAATTTCAGTGGTGACAAGTTTAAGAAATTCTTGAAAATTTTAAAATTACACCTAAGTCCCAATTTTTTTTAAAATTTCATTGGGGGCAGCTGCCCCCATGCTAAATCCGCCACTGAAGTCGCCACTTGCCATTCACCTTTCTTATGAGTACGACATTGGCGAGCCAAGTCAGGTAATCAACCTCCCTGATGGCCTTGGCCCGCAATAGCTTAGCTACCTCCTCGTTGATGGCTTTTTGCCTTTCCGATGCGAAGCTTCTTTTCTTCTGCCTAACAGGTTTACAGCTCGGATCAATGCTCAAATGGTGCACGATCACTGCGGGGTCTATTCCCTCCATATCCTCTTGTTTCCAGGCCAAAATATCAACATTTGCCTTTAGGAATGAGATGAGCTTCCCCCTGATGGACGGGAGCAACATTGACCCTATGAACACCACGTGCCCTGGGTCTTCGTAGAATTGCACGGGCTCCAACTGCTCTATAGGGGCAGGCCTGGTGTCTAGTTCGTTTCTCATGTCCAAGTCCTCGAGCTGGACCGATTCCATCTCCCTTTGTTTCATCGACGCAATGTAGCATTCTCTGGCCAGGCATTGGTTTCCCCTGACCATGCCGAATCCATTCTCTGTGCGGAATTTCATCACCAAATGATATGCCGAAGGTATCACTTTGATGGAGTTGAGAGATGGCCTACCCAAAAGGATGTTGTAAGTGGATGAAGCGTCTACTACAAGAAACCGAGCGGTGGTCGTAGCCTAGCAGGGCTATTCCCTGACGGTGAGGATGAGTTGGATGGATCCAACTGGCAGGACCTTTTCGCCCGAGAAACCTAGTAGGTGGGATTTCATGGGTTCGAGGTTCTACCTTTCTATACCCAGTTGGTCGAAAGCCGACAAGAAAATGATATCAGCGGAGCTTTCGTTGTTGACGAGTACTCGGTGTATGGTTTTGTTTGCGACGATCGCCTTTTATGACTAGGGGGTTGTCATGTGGCTGCTGGCATTCTCCGAGGTCCACATTTGAGAAGGTGATCTCCATTTCTTGGTGAGGCACCTTTCGTACGATATGGATTTCAAGGTGGTCTTCCGAACGTGCCTTCCGAGCATGTGCTTTACGTGTTGAACTGGATTCGCCTCCTCTGGCTAATCCGCCAGAGATTACTCGGATCTCGCCCAGGGCTTGTTGGTGCTGCTGAGGGGGTTCTGGGGTAGCTCGGTCTTCTCGGCCTTGATTATTTTGAGCCCTTCCGTCTGCCGCCAAGTAGTGGCGCAGGTGTCCCCTCTGGATCAGATATTCTATCTCTTTCTTGAGTTGTATGCAGTCGTTTGTCTCGTGCCCGGTGTTTTTGTGGTACTCACAGTACTTAGTGGCGTCCTGCCTACTGGGGTCGAATTTCATTCGCGGTGGCCATCGTATAAACCTCTCATTTTGGACCTCGTGGAAGACCTGAGCGATCAAGGTGACAAGGGGTGGGAGTTGAGCTGGAGCATACTGCGGTTGTAGCTCTTGCAGAGGAGGTCCTAGCTGATCTCGGACATTTCCTCTCCTTTTAGGGGAAGGCTCTCTTCCTCTTCTCGGAGAGCGGTCTCTTCTTGGGGAACGATCACGCATTTTCTCTCTTTTGGGGCTATGGTCTCGCTTCTTCTTGTCTCTTTCTGGCGTTACCTAACTTCCCTTTAGGCGAAGAGCCTCTTCACCGTTAACGTACTTTTCAGCCCTTGCTAACACCTCGGCCATAGTAGCCTGGGGGTTCTTAGCAATCGAGAAGAGAAGGTCCTTGGATTGCATTCCGAGCCTCGATATGAAGGTGGTTAATGCGAATTTATCGTCCACGCTTTCCACCTTCAGGCATTCCTGGTTGAAGCGTTGCACATAACTTCTGAGGGACTCGTTTGGTCCCTGTTTGATGCTCAGCAGGTGATAGGACGGCTTTCGGTACGTCCTTGCTCCGATGAAATGTGAGACGAACTATATTGACAGTTCCCTAAAGGAGGAGATTGACGCCAATTGTAACGTATTGAACCAAGCTATTGTCGACCCCTTTAGGGTGATGGCAAAAACTCAGCAATGAATCGGGTCGTGATACCCCTGGAGTTCCATTTGATTCTTGTAGGAGTTTAAGTGGTCGACTGGGTCTTTGGTCCCATCGAATGCTTCTACCGACGGTATCTGAAACTTCTGAGGGAGAGGGAAATGGAGGACCTCAGGTGTGAATGACGACTCGATTTGCTGGACTAGGGCATCTATGGTGTCGGGGGCCTTTCCTCTAACTACTTCCTTCACGTTGCCTAGCTCTCGCTGGAGTTCACAGATTCTCTGCTCCCATATGCGATCATCTGTTTTGAACAGAGGGTGAGGTCTATCCTGTTGGAAGGCTGCGGTGGCTCAGCTATGGGCCTCGTCCTCATTTTTTTCTTCGGGGCGTCTTCTCCGATGGTTTTCTCCAGAGTGGCTGTGTTCGTGGAGCTCTGTGACCCCATTTGGTGGAGCCTGATGTCCTCGAAGGGGAGCGTCGTGACCTGCTGGCGGTGGAGGGGGCTCTTCTTGAGTTGGTGGGAATGGAGGGAGCTGGTGAGTCCATATCCATTCCAGTAGCTCCTGGTTTTGTTTCATAAGTTGTATCGTGGTTCGGTGGAAAGTATCCATTCCCTCGAGAGGGGGAAGGTTCGTCACTGTGAAGTGGTTTGCAGTGTCCACTTCTGGAATCGGGGGATCTTCTAGTAGGTTCTGATGGGCTTGAGGGTTGGCAGGAGATTTACTCATATTCCAAGTTGAAACCATCAAATAGAAATCAGATAAGGAAACGATGAAAAGCGTTCCCACAGATGGCGCCAACTGATGATGCTCGAATTTTAGGGCCCAAACCCAATTATGATGGGGTGATATTGTGGGAATGACTTTGTAGATTGTGGATTAATCTTTTATGAACAGTTGGACAAGGAATGTAAGTGGTTCACCTTAGTCGAAGGACTAAGGCTACGTCCACTATCAATGGAGTCTCTTGCTCGCTAGGATTATGTATTCATTTGCCGGCAAAGTGCCTGTAATGACTTGGGACTCAGGGTCCGCTTACAAAGATTGATTATTGTGGTATTCTCTTTCAGCTTTCTACGCTCTCTACCTCCAAAATGTTCTCCGATCTTTTTTCTGTTGGGGGAGATGTCGTTGTAGTCATCTTCTTATCGTTGTCCATTTATACCAGCTTCTCCTAGGGCCTCCAACTATCCTTTCCTCTGACCTCCTCCTGCTTCTTCTGCCACCATGATCACTGTTCATCCGGTGTCCCTGTTCATCTGGCGCTGCAGTTGCCATGATCTCTGGCGGCTTGATGCTCCACCTTTTGGGATTGCTGCAAGTGTCAGGGGTGGTCCCCCTGGATGCAAGGTCCCCTTTACTCATCCAAAAATAGTTTGGATTAGGTTTTTACTCTCCAAATCACTTTATGGTTTGGGCTGGACCTGGACTGCTGGGCTATAGGCTTTCGTTGATGCCAGGTGCCGCTTTTCTGCTTTGGACCTCTTGGGCTGGTCAGGTGTCTGGGCCATCAACGCTTGGCTTTGAGTTTCGTCCGTATCACCATCCATCCAAATAAAAAACAAAGGAATGAAAGTATATCATTCCTACTTTCAACTCACTATTCCTGGAAAGATGAATAGTTGAAGGGATAAATAAAACATCATGTTTGATAAGGAATAAAAATAGGAATGATAGAAAAGTGGATAAATTAACCTTTTTTTCAACTCACTAAAATCAATCCCTTTAAAATCGGAAGGAAGTGGATGAAATGTTAATTATTTGTGTTGAGATATATCTTATTTGTCTATATATTATGTATACATTAATTTTATATAAAAATACAATGATAAAATATGTATGTATGTATATATATATATACATATTAAAAAAAATTAAAAAATTTTAAAAATTTAAAAATTTAAATTAAAAAAATATATTTTTTCTAGAATTAAAATTTTTTGACTTAACACGATAACACAACTCAAATTCGACACGAATTTTATGATACAAACTTGATTATAACTCAATACAAACTTGAAAATGACCTGAGACACAAACAAGAAATATAAAAAGTTCATAATTTTATAATTCAATCTGACACGACACGATTCGATTGTCACCTCTAATCTTAACTAGTGCAAAAAAAATTAAAAAAAATATTAGTTATTTTTATTTTAATCCATCTAACAAAATACAAAAGAATGAAAGTATATCATTCCTACTTTTCATCTTTGAAAGATAAAAAATGTATCTATTCTACTTTTCATCATTTCTACCAAACAAAACATAATAAATTGTCAAGATTCCCATTTTTTCTACCAAATGGAATATAAAGAATTATCAATATCTAAACTCATCAAGATCTAAACTCAAAGACTTATGAAATTACAGCGTCTTTATTTTTTCGATTAAACTAAATACTTGATTGTGTTCATTATGAAGACTCAAGAGAGCATAAGTAGAAGCCCAAATAGCAAACCAAAACACTGCTTCAACAATAATGCGACCATGCGATCCATAAATGGCTCTGTGTTTCTCTCTCCCTAGAAGACTTGCAATTGCAAACCTTTCTCTCTTCTCTCTTCCCGCAAAAACCCGACCGTTGGACTTCACACAGTTTACTTCATTTCAATTTCCCTTGTCCACGTTCAAGTTTTTCAAATCTTGTTCGACATCACCTCTCTATTTAGACCCTTATTTCTACAACGATAACCTCCTCTACAATCACATCGATCTCGTTTCATATTACACATTCCTTCTCGATAAACTAACACATAAAAGCCATCTGAATGAAATTCATGCGCGCTTATACGTGTCTGGACTTCAATTTAATGGTTTCTTGGTGACTAAGTTCATCAATGTGAGCGCAAATCTTGGTGAAATTCACCATGCACGAGAATTGTTTGATGAATTTCCAGACCCATATGTTTTTGTATGGAATGCCATTATCAGGGGATACTCTGTGCACAATATGTTTACCAGTGCTATTGAGATGTATACAAAAATGCAAGAAATGGGTGTGCGTCCGGATTGCTTCACTCTTCCTCCTGTGCTCAAGGCGTGTTGTGGCTCATCTGCTGTTGAAATTGGTCGTGCGGTGCATGGACACATATTTAGACATGGGTTTGAATCCGACGTGTTTGTCCAAAATGCGCTTGTGGCATTGTATGCAAAATGTGGTCAAATTGAAAGGGCTCGGATGGTGTTTGATGAGTTAGATGACAGGACTATTGTTTCGTGGACTGCCATTATATCTGGGTATGCCCAAAATGGGCACCCTATGGAAGCTTTGAAGTTTTTTAAGCAGCTTAGAGAATTGGATGTGGAATTGGATTGGATTGTGCTTGTGAGTGTTCTCAGGGCTTATACAGATGTGGAGGACTTGAAGCAAGGAAAATGTGTTCATGGTTTTGTGTTCAAAATTGGTCTTGAACTTGAACTGGACTTGCGGATTTCCCTTACAGCAATGTACGCCAAATGCGGGCAGCCAATGGTTGCCAAATTTTTGTTTCATCAAATGGAAGTATCTAATGTGATCTTGTGGAATTGCATGATTTCGGGGTTTGCAAAAAATGGTTATGCCAACGAAGCTGTAGAGCTCTTCTGGAGGATGATATCCAAAAATATCCGACCAGATGAAGTCACGGTGCGGTCTACTATATTGGCCTGTGCTCAAGTGGGGTCACTTGAACAAGCGAGGTGGATGGATAACTATATCAGTGACACTAACTACAGAAATGATGTTTTTGTCAACACGGCCCTCATTGACATGTATGCTAAATGTGGAAGTGTTGAGTTAGCTCGTAAAGTATTTGAACAAACAGTAAACAGAGACGTCGTTGTGTGGAGTGCCATGGTTATGGGTTATGGATTGCATGGTCAGGGCAGGGAAGCTATCGGTCTTTTCGGTGCCATGAAGCAAGCGGGGGTGTGCCCTAATGATGTAACATTTATTGGGCTCCTTACAGCATGTAATCATTCGGGCCTTGTTGAAGAGGGATGGGAACTTTTCCACAGTATAAGGGATTATGGGATTGAGCCTCGCCACCAACATTACGCTTGTGTTGTTGATCTTCTTGGTCGTGCAGGATATTTGGAAAAGGCTTATGATTTTATCATGAACATGCCAATTGAGCCAGCTGTTTCAGTATGGGGAGCACTGTTGAGCGCATGCAAGATCTATCGCCATGTAAAATTGGGGGAATATGCAGCAGAGCAGCTTTTCTCATTAGACCCATTGAATACGGGGCATTATGTGCAGCTCTCAAATCTATATGCTTCAGTCCGCTTGTGGGATGGTGTGGCAAAGATACGGATATTGATGAAGGAGAGAGGACTGAGTAAGGACCTTGGTTATAGTACGATTGACATTAATGGAAAGCTTCAAGTTTTTCGAATGGGAGACAAGTCACATCCAAGATCAAAGGAAATATTTAAGGAGCTTGACAGATTGGAGAGGAGGTTGAAACAGGCTGGATTTTTGCCGGATACAGATTCTGTGCTACACGACTTGAATAGTGAGGACAAGGAGGACACTCTCTGTAACCATAGTGAGAGACTGGCAATTGCTTATGGACTTATCAGCACTCCTCCTGGAACTACACTTAGGATAACTAAAAACCTGCGGGCATGTGTGAACTGCCACTCTGCAACTAAGCTGATATCTAAGCTCGTCTGTAGGGAGATAGTTGTCAGGGATGCAAACAGGTTTCACCATTTCAAGGATGGATTGTGTTCTTGTGGAGATTACTGGTGAGAAGCGCAGATGGTTTTGGACATTCATCATAGGCTATCTGGCTGGGTTCTGATTCAATCACGTCAATGGGTTCTGATTTCACCATTACTGGTGATGCATATAGTAGCACTAGTTCTGTAAAAGATCGAAGCTCCAAGACTGAAAACAATATTTTGGGGATATAATGCAATTACTGATAACTATATTCTGGAGAATTTGACACTGCATGAGGCCTCTTTTGGTTTCTTTGCGCTTTGTGAGGACATGATGAGTGCAGAAAAGGTTTGGAGCTTATCCAATTTTCCATCTGGCCTCTCTCATGAAAGCCAATGTGTTGAGGTACTGTCCTCCTCAATTTCTTCATATATATACACTGCAATTTAGTGATTCACTTATTGCTTTGGGCTATAAATGTTGTATTGAGTAATTTTGCCTTATTTGTGTATAAATTCATGGATCTATACTGCAGAATTAATGGCTTCTTAGGATTTTCTTAATGGTGCAAGATTTTTGTCATACAAGAATGGATTGAAAAAGTTAAAAAGCACCCTTAGGATTGCATTTTTAGAGTAGATTATTAGGTAACTATGCTCACATGCAGCTACTCCTATGTCAGGTTTGGAAATCTCAAATGTATACCGCCGCAATGTAGATGTTGGTTAAATAAATGATAAGGCTAAGATGTGTCAAGTGATATGGTCTCTTAAAAATTCAATCTATTGCAATTACAGTTAATGCTATTGGATTAAGTCAGCTGCACATTTTTAAGTTACAAAATTAGGTTAAGTCTCGAGGTATGAATAGTATTGCTTACATATAAACTCAAAACATTAGGAGGTTATTAAGACTAACTGTACTCTCAAAGGGTGGGGAAAAGAAAAAAAAGATAAGGGTCGCGTATTGAGTTCAAACATAAGATGCCACACATGAGGGGAGTATGATGCTATACAATTTTGCACTAGCTTTAAGCAGTTGTTGGCTGTAGCAATTAACAATGACTACCCGTGCACTAATTCTCAGATCAGATTCAAAACAACGAATCTCATATTGGGATGCAGGTGATTCACCAAAAAACAAAAAATTTGATGGTGAATGGGATGCATGAAATCCCAATAGGGCTGCCAATGAAAAATATGATGGAAACTTTGTGATACTTGTATTAATAGTAATACACCTATAACATTGACTGCAGCTTCTGTCCAAGAATAATGACCTTGGTGGTGTTCTTCTTCCTCCCTTTGATAATCTCAAGTCATTGGAAGTGAGAACTGGTTTGAACAAATATAACAAACATCCTATGATTCGCAAGCTTGTTGGGGAACTTTCCTACTCTCCATACACTCGTCTTCAAGTTTTCTAGTGTTTTCAAGACTGAAAGGGGAGTAAGTGTTAAACATGATACCCCAAATGCTTATTCTTTTCACATTTCATTTTCTCTGATGTGCATATATGAACTACAATCTAATTTCATCCAATTCTATCAACGGAACAGGGACTTGTGGGACGTCTCTAGCTCAGGCGAAGAACATTACTGGGAATCTGAAAGCTAAGCTTTGATGCCCTTCCTTCATCATCTAAAGTTGGTAAAGATACACTCATAAACGGGTTCTCGGAATGCGAAACTCATATTAGTCTGGCAAAGTTTTTGCTCAAGCATGGAAGGGTGCTGCAGGAAATAATTCTATGTTCAGGACATTGCAATTTTAGAGATTCTCCGAGGCAGGAAAAATCCAAGTCAAAAATGATGGGGTTCCCACGAGCTTCTTCTAATGTAAATATTTCATTTCACTGATTCTTGGAGCCAGCCAACTTAGCTTAGTTGATGTTTTGATGGTATGAGAATTCAATTGTTTAGACTTGTAGCAATCCTAATTATATCCACAGGTCATTTCTCTCAACATTTCCTAAATTAATGTCTATTCTGTCCATGCAATTTGTCTAACAAATCCATTGGCAGACCACATGCTAATGCAACATTTTTTCGACAATTTTTTTTCTGTAATTGGATTTTTGGCTCCACAATGATATTGAGGATGTTCTTTTTGTGTTATTTGTTTTTTTTTCCCTGATTGTAATCTCTTGTGATATTTACTGAGGCTAATTATGACCCGTTTCTCTCTTTATCGTTCACCGGAAACCCTGAAATGAACTATGTTGGACACAATTTTTTGTCATGATATTTATGAAGTACCATAATCAGATCATCTTGTATGGAAATTTCCGTCAAAAAATCCGTGATGTGAATGGAAGGGTATAGTTTTTAGTCAACATTTTTTCATCATAAAATAACTGGTGGCCTATAATAGCTAGCAAATAATGAGGATTGCAAATCCCGTCACTAATAACCAAGAGAGAATATGAATAAAATCAGAGCGGTTTTTGTACATAGTAAACAACAATCAGAATCTAATCTACTCTCCAAGCTGATAAAAGAACAGTTCTTGTTCACTCTCTTCTAATTCTTTCTTCAGTTAAAAAAAAAAAGCCTAATCTACTCTCGAAAGCCCTCTATTTCTTCGATCAGTTGCTGGCTGGAACTCCACTGCTTGTGACCAGGAACCCATTCAGGACATTTGGGACTAAGTAACTCGAAACAACTTTCGAGTTCAAAAGCTCAACAATGGGGACAAATTTCATGCATCGTGGTGCCTTGTACTGGTTATTGATGCTTCACTCTCTACCATCTTTATCTCCAATGGGCCAATTGATTTATCGGACACACGACCTTGTCGGTAGACACTGTTCAGTGATTCCTCCATGGTAAGGCAGCAATCCTCAAAGACTGATAGGGGAATTGTAGTAACAGTACGATTATTGAAGCCAATTTTCCAGTATAAGACATAGTGGCCTCTGGGATGGTGGATGTGTCTGCGTAGCTTGTATATTCTATGAGAGATGCATCAAATGGCAAGAGATTCTTAGATGCATTAATCACAGCATTGTGCAGCTCAACTTTATCTGTTTTATCAGAATCGATGCTCAGAAGAACATTCTTTTGACAGACAAAATTGAACTGAGGCGCCTTCTCGTTGAATACAGCTACTCTTAGTATGTCCCCAACCCGATAGTGATAAAGTCCGGCAATTTCAGCATCAGAATAAGATCATTACAAATAGAAATTTTATCATAAGGCGTCACAGTAACAACCTCTCTCTCTCTGATTCTTTAGGCAACATATTGAATTTTATACCTGCAAAAGTGGTGACCACAAGCTCATATTGTTGTCCAAGTTTAACATCTGTGAGTTCCTCTAATCTGTGGTGCACTTTTTGGGTCTTCTGGTCTTGGTTCAGAGTGGGAATCAGTGCCTCCATCTTTCCAATTCACTGGTAAAAATCCAAAATAGGCCATGGTGGGAATAAGGGTGTAAGAGACTTCACTTGGCTGACATAGATGACTAAGGTTTACACCAAAGTAACATTCAGAAGAAGCATACATTGTGCAAACTAGAGGGAGACCACTGCTATAACAATCAACAGTTGGAATATATTGTGACATTGTTCCTGTCACAATTTCATCGATATACTTTGTGTTGGGCCATAACCTAGTGATGATCCCTTTCCATGATCCCCTGCTACATTCGACCTTGATGAAATCTGCAAGTTTTGGATTTGGTTTAAGAATTTTCATGACGGCCTCTCTCACCATGGAATCATTGATCATTTGGGAGTCTATTGTGCCATCTCAAATGTCATTGCAAAGAAGAGGCCAGTGTTTTTCAAGGAACTGGATGACCCGAATGAAACTAGAAGCAAAGACGGCTCCAACTAGAAGAACTTCGCTGCTTTGACACACAGCCCACATAGTATTTGAGAGTACATGCTCTGGTAAGAATCTGAGCATAGAATTGTTTCGTTCGGGCTAGTATAGTTGGTGTAAGGATCATAAGGCCTCTGCCTAGAATATGAGCTTTTGTAGTAACTGGTTAGAACTGGACGAGCTAAAAGACCTCCTAGAGTCTTAGCTTCTGACTTTATGAACAAAAAGTACATTCCTTTGCTCTTGTCCAAACCAGGAACAAACTGGTTCATCACAAGCATCAGAAGGCTATAAAGCAGTGATCTCCTCCCAAGCTCCTCTTCTATCGTTGGGGTTAAGTCCAACTCATGCTTAATATGTTATTAGAACGGTAACTATTTAACAAAAAAAAAGTTCGTCTAGAAATGATCTTAAAACCGCTTAATACATTGCCTTTTATCTTCTTTCCCAATATTCCTAAATGTGTCTCCTCACATTTTTTCTTAGGAAACAAAAAGATTTTACCAATTTGCAACTAGTACATCATAAAATAACATAGGATGGACAAGATGTCCATCGTGAAGAAAACACCACCAAAAACAACAAATCATAACTATGAGTCACATAAAGCTTTCCATTCCGTCAAAGTACAAAAGAACGAAATTCCTTCCAAGTCTACAGTAACCAAAATAATGCCAAACAATTGAATCTAATCTCATAAGCCTTCTACCAACTCACATCACTCCTCTAATATTTTGTTTTGATAAGAAACAATGATATCATTAATAACCAAAATGAAAGTTAGTACAATAAGCAATCGCGTTTGGACAAGTAGTCCAAAACAACAAAAATTCAGAGACAATACTAAAAAAAAAAATACACCATGAGAAAGAAGAAAATATCTACATCCCACATGAAGCTTTCCAATTTGAAGTGATGCAAAAAAGGGGAATATTCTCAAACTCCTTTGATATCAAGGCCCAAATAATAGGCCAAGAAAAAAAAATCATATCCCATAAACCTTCAATTACCTCACATTTGTCATAAAAAATTCTTGTATTCTTTTCCAACTAAACTTCTCAAATGGTAGCAAAACATGCGCATCCCCAAAGAATCGTCCATTTGTAATTGCCACTCCCGCATATCCCATCCATACCAATCATTGAGCAAATAGTTTTTAAGTACCACCGAACAAAGACTCGCATAACAAAATAACCTATTCCAAAGAGACAATTCAATGGGACAATATAAAAATAAATGATCCACACTCTCGCAATTGCCTTTGCACATAACACACTATATTGAGGTAGAAAACAAATCTTTGATTTTCTTCTGTGAAGCGCATCTTGAGTGTTGATCTTGTCATGGACAATTATCCAAACACAAATTTGAACCTTTAATGGCACTTTAGCTTCCCAAATCACATTTGATGGAGGTAATGAAGGAAAAAAAGGACATCGATTAAAGATTCAAATAATAATTTACATGAAAAAACACAAATAGGATCACTGATTCAAACCCTTTTATCCATAGTACCATGAATCAAAGAGACATTATTAAGAGTCTCAAAAAGCTCAACCACGTCCAAGCATTCTATCATTGAAACTTCTACAGGAAGCTTCGAGATGTTGAGTTAAGGAAATAATGGATCAAATATGTTTTGTTGAAAGACTAATGAATTATTGAAAAACTTGTGATTTGTTGAAAAACTTGTGATTTGAGTAGTATCCACCGTGGTAGAGTTGTTGTATAACTTGACATGACTTACATGTTGTTGATTTGGATACTGTGTAGTTGTCGTGAGACAACTTGACATTGCTTTAGATAGCTTGACAATGTTTAAATGTTGTTATAGTTTGACATTGTTTAAATGTTGTTGACTCATAGTACATGTGGACTATTTATTATGTTGATATTTTGGCAGTGATTTGAGATTACAAAGTGAGCTGAAACACTGTGCTTTTATCGTTTTCATTAGATTGTAAACATATTTTGTTGAAATGATATTTGATCCATATTTTTAATATTTTCATTTATTACGATACATAGTACACTAAGAAAATATTTGGTTTTAAGAGGCTGAAGTTTAGAGTTGGGTCAATTACAACACTAACAGGGTAGGAATGGGAGATTGAGGAAACTGGTTGGGTACATATTGTACAGAAATGTATGTTTCCTTGTTGATGTAAGGGATGAATTCCTAATATTTTGTTTTAGTTTGTTACACTATTGTGTACTCTGTCATAGAGTTGTATGGTTTATCTCTTTATAAGATCTTCAGTTGGTAGTATTGCATTATAGGCACAGGTATTGTCATGTGTCAAGTTATACTTATATCTTAAGGATACCAAGTTGGTCTCTCGAGAAGAGGTGTGACACTTGATCCCTTTTTTTGTTCCTGTACTTGTTCCTTGGTTAGATAATATCCTCAATTCACTGAGTAATTATCAATACTATTTGAGCACCAAATTCTTTGATCATCTCTGTTGATTTTAGAGAAGGGAATTGCAATAATTGTTTTTCATTTTGTTATCTGTTACGAACTCCTTGATTAGGTTAGTGTTCCATTTGCAAGATCTTTAATTATTAGCCTCCTTGACCATTGTGAGATTGAATAATTCTGGTTTTGTGGTTTTCAATGGTGAAGTGTTGAAAGGAACCCATCTGTTCTCCTAGAAATTCACTTTATCACCTTTCTTGACTTGTCATTTCATACCTTTTTCAAGTAAATTTGTGCCAAATTGGAGATTGTTCCAGGTCCATGAGGATCTTGGTTTCTTCTTAGCATTCATGAAGATAGTATTTGGGAAGTAGATGACTTTCAATGTTGTTGCGCACAAAGAATTTGGGTTATGTGGATCAATCTCCAACCTTGACTAGCTAGAAGAGGTTAACTAAAACATGAGAAATCATTGAAGCCCATTCCTCCAAAATATGTTGCAGTATGGGGAAAGACAATTACTCCCACCATTTGGGTGATTTCCATCTTCTTCTCTGCTAGGGTATTGTTTGAGAAAATGATCTCTGATTTGTTGAAGTTTATCAGTTGGCCAGAGGCCTCACAATAGAATTAAAGTAACCTTTTGTTGTGTAGAATAACTGGTGGTATAAGAAAACATAGTAGAAGACACAATAAAGATAAGAAATATAAGAAAAAGTCGTTAGGCAAGGCGCGACCCTCACTATCTTCGAGATAGTAATTTTTCCACTATGATGCAGATAGACTCATGAAAATTTCTATCCCCAGGATACAATGCCTAGCATTTAAGACTATCAAAGACCGCGTTTCTTAATAGTCTTGGAACTAGAACTCAACCCGAATGAAACTCATAAGATCAATCACAAGAAAATATGATAATAGAATTAGAAATTAACTAACTTCTATGTAACTTTTTCTTTTGGCCAATGAATAAGAACTCTATATTTATAGTGTTCCATACACCTCTTTATAAGAGTTGTAATTCTTCATTTAAATGCCAATAGATATCTTTATTTGGAAGGTTATAACTCTTATCTTCAAGAGTCACTTTAACCACCAATAAATAATTAGTTATATAATTTATCATTATTAGTAAATATTAGTATATATCCATATATATACAACAATCCCCCACTTATTTACTAAAAATGATATAATAGAGAAAATATTTGGATACAATATAATGAATGCCCTAGGTGGACGATCCCTTGAACCTAAAGTTGAACATGAAACTATAAACTTTAAAAAAACAAGAGAACTATGTCATGATCTTGATACATTCAAAGTCTAAGAAGCATATTCGCACTATACACAGAGTTCACGGTCCTCTTAAGGCAACGCGTTATTAGGCCATGTGCTGGTCCCGCTTAACAAGTACTCTAGGGTTTTACTAAAAACCCGTAGGCAGCGGCCCTTACCTCCATACTCACAAAGACAGACTCATCAAGGGTGTTCCACAACCGCTCTGCTCTATCACCCCAAACAAAGTTATGAGTTCTGTTAAGGACAAAGTCCAACCTTCTTGTTGTGGAATACGCAGTGCATTAACCAGATATGAGACTTTAGTTGGAATAGACTTACCCCCACTATTCCTAAAATAAAATGCATCGGAAATATAACCTCGCGTTAACATTTCTTGGATAATACTTGACTCAATTTTCTTTGAACTCTAATTAAGAGATTTCTAACGTATCGGCATCAACTTGTTAGAGTGGACTACACTCAAGACTATCTCTATTGAATCGGTAATATCATTTGCCCACTTAGTGGTTTTGTTTAATATGATCCACTAATATGATCAGTAGGTAATATTCAAGTATAACTTTACATTTTTCCTCACAAGCTTTCTTATATGATTTAATGTTGCTTGGCTGTCACAATGCAAAGTCACTGATCCTCAAGTATATCAGTAAATGAATGTTTTTTATAAAATTCTTCATCCATAATATACCAAAACTAGATAAAACAGTATAATCAGATTTCATGGATGATAATACAACTTAAGAATACTTCTTAGAAGTCCAAGCACCAGTTTAAGCGAACAGCAAATCACTATAGATTTAAAATTCGTTCTATCACAAGCCAAATTAGAATTACTATTGCATTCAAGAATATAGCCTCTGCAATAATTATGCAATCCACAGTTCAGAGAACATTATATCAAAACAAATTACACAAAGTCAAAAGTGAATTATACTCCTCATGATTAACACGTTTAAATTTCAAAGATACTTCCAAAACAAAGTGTTTGAAATAACGTCTAGCCCCCACTATATTCTTCATTTGACACCTAGTATCGTATCAACTTTGTTGAACATATTATAATTTCGATTCCTCTTCAAGTATTGTATCATCTTTGTTGAACATATTATAATTTTGATTCCTCTTCAACCAATCAGGTTATTCTCAAATATAGGAGAGTCATTCAAACAAGACAATAACAGTCATATTTGACCATCATATTCATATGCTATTATTCACTGAACACATTCAAGTAACAGTATCATGTTTAAAGTAGTAGGATATCAACACATGTTTTTGTTTTCATTTCCATTCCACAAGTTCATGCTTTAGAAAGTCTATCCAGCAAGATATCAATTGTGTTAAATTTGTCTGTCTATCAAATCTCTACATGAATGCAAGATCCTAGATCCACTTTCATTTCATTTTTTCAATAAAATTATATAAACTTGCACTACTACTCATGTTTGACATTCAACCTAACACATGTATTGGATCACACATAGTACACCATATTATATTCACAAATAAAATAATTTAGTGCAGTAATCAAATATACTCACAAGTCGCAGGATGTACAATCCTACTCAAATACCCGATTTAAATATCCTTTAGAGAGTAGGCTTTCTCCACGATACCCATATATATGATCTCGTGATTCTTCAGCAAATATCAAATCCATTTCAAAAGTGTTGAATATCAATATAAGAAGCCTGATATCTCTTGACCCTTTGCAACTTCCTTCTAGCAAAACAACGCGGTCGCCGCAAGGAAGAAAAGAGCATTCTTCCGTTTGAATTTCAAAACCAGTGGCCAGTAAAACGAAAGATTGACAAAGATGAACATACGGCAATAACCCAAAACTCTTCTAACTCCTTCGTTCCTTGATCCACATTTTAACAGAACGATCCTCTGGTAACTGTTCCTTGGATTATTTATGGTAACTCTGTTCCGACAAAATGGAATATATTCGACGTTTCCGGCAGAACTCCTTTCTCTTTCGCGTCACCACTCAATTCGTTGCTTTGATTCCAAAATGCCATAAAATTACTGGATGACAAAAACCCAGTTGGAAGCCCCATGCTATTCTCTCCAATCTACATCCTGTTTAATAGAACTAATCGAGACACGTCGCTTCCGTGACTGATTTTTCTAATTAAACGATTCGACACTTGGCATCGCCACCCAACTTAGAAATCCGGCGAGTGACAGAATACCGCCTGAATAAAATGACGCCATATGTATTATCTTCTTCAATCTGAGTTCCAAGTTCGATCGGTAATCGTTTATATAGTGGCTGACAACTTGAAGTTCAATTCATGCATCACACAAAGTCACAGCATCAAGTTTGATCAAACCTACTGTAACGACATCATCCATTATTTTTTGACTTCTCCATGAGCAGACACCGTTTGGACCAATTACCGATATTCACACAGTGAAATCCACTATCAAGAATGCTGCAAACTTGGACCTCTTTTTCCATTTCTCCTTGACCACCGTTAATGCGTTGGAGAGTAATTACTATCTCGAAATTGAACAGCCCGGTGGTATAAGAAAACAAAGCAGTAGAAAAGATAAAGAAAAAGTCGTTGGGTAAGACGTGAATAATATTTTTTTACCACTGTGATGTAGACGGATTCATAAAAATTTTATTGCTCATTTTTTACTAGTTTTGGAATTAAAATTCGACCCGAATAAAACTCGACCCGAACAATCACAAGAAAATATGATAATAGATTTCTATATAACTTCGTCTTTTCACCGATAAATTGGAACCCTATATTAATAGTGTGCCAGACACCAAGAGTTGTAATTCTTTATTTAAATGCCAATAAATACCTTTATTTAAAAGGTTATAACTCTTATTTTCGAAAGTCATTTTAACCACCAATAAATTATTAGTTATATAATTTATCATATTAATAAATATTAGTATATATTCACATATATACATCACCTTAGCAATTGTACTCCTTCGTTCACCTCTACTTTCAAAAGCAAGAGTGATCATCAACGAATAAAATGTGGGATAGTATAGGGCAAGTCCTTCAGATATTAATTTTAGAAAATCTTCTTTTTATCAATTGTTGTTGTGATAATTCTTCAGATCATGTCTGCCACCAACAGAGAGATATGGAGAAATTGGATCCACTTGACTAATCCTCTATGGTGGTGTTTGGATTGCCATGGGAGGATTGAATTGGATTGAATTGAATTGGAATCCGAACCCAATCTAACTCAATACAAAGTAGTCCGATCGAAAGATTATAAAGATGAGATTCAAATCCTATCTCTATCTTTAGATAGGTTTCATTTGGTTTGTGGACCCCATTAACTTGTGAAGCTAAAACATACTAAAATGACTATTTCACCATTATGTAAAATAATGTGATCCAATCATATACCATGTTTAGAATGAAATGAAAAAAAAAGCCCAATCCATTAGTATTGTCTTTTTTACAAAAAAAATATGAATCAATAAATTACGCATTTTTTCAAAATATTACAATAATATTTTGTTAAGTTATTTAATTTAATTTGTACAATACACTTTTAATCACAAAAATCATCTAAGGAATCATGAAAAAAAAAATCCAAAAAAAAAAAAAATACACATATCGATACAACTCAAGCGTAAGTCGTTATTTGTAGAAAATCTGAAGTTGTGTGCTTAACAATAAAACTTAATTGTTTAAATTGACTTGAACATCTCTGACTGTTATATAAAAAAAAATACAAAGTGAAAATGTGGCATGTGAAGGAAAAATGTGAGAGAGGGATATAGTTCAGGGGCTGAAAGTGTAATTATTGCTTCTGAATTTTCCATTACCTATTTTGGAACAGTTCTCTTCGATTCCAGATAGTGCTGCTCGTGCGGTGTCTTCATTTAGCATATTTTCCCTAAATTTTTTTCGTATACTATTTTATGTATAGAGAATCAATTCCATAATTTGAGGTCTGATCACCACTTAATTCAATATCCCATCATATGCATGATAAAAAAAAAATGTAAATAATTTTCAACACACATAATTGAAATCTAAAAATATTATGCTTGTACATAAAAAA